TGAAATATACTGCTGTATTTTTTATGTTGTGGGCCTATATTTCTGCTGGAGGTCCTGGACATCTTGTTTAGACACATGGCATCTTTGATTCTATCAAATACCAACAGATAAAAAATCTAAAAGTGACTGACTCTGTTATAAATCTTATAACGGGCCATGTTTGGATCTTCCAACTGACAATAATCCAAAAACAAACCTTAAAAACAACACAAAAATGGGTCACTGGGCACAAAACCAAGCTTCTGCTATGGCCATTCCAGTCCTCTGACATGAAGCCTATAGAAAATGAGTGAGGTGAACTGAAGAGGAGAAGCACCATCATGGAGCTGGGAATCTGAAGGGTCTGGAGAGATTCTGAATGAAGGAATGGTCTCTGATCTCTTGTCAGGTGTTCTCTAACCTCATCAGGCATTATAGGAGAAAACTCAGAGCTGTTATTATGCCAAATGGAGGTTTCAAAAAGCATTGAATAAAAGGGTGCTGTTAATTGTGTCCAATGTATATAAGAGAAAAACATTTATGTCATAATGATATTTCCCCCCGTTTTAAATTCTCCAATGAAAGCTTTTATGTGAATTTTTTAAATAAAAGATCAAAATGATTAACAATGCAGATTTATTTTCACAGCCTTCTTTGATCATATTTACCAAGGGTGCCAATAATTCTGACCACGACTGTACATACACAACTTTTCTGGAAAACACAAGATAAGAATGAAGATTAAAGCATCATGATCATCTTATTCACAAACTTTTCACAAAGTTAACTTTTTCCCATCAGTTGACAGTTGACATCATCAAATTTAACAAGCTTTCAGTTTCATAACTGTACATTTCTCCCAGCAGTGACACTGCAGAAAATAACTTGTGTGATCAATGTCTTTCAATGATTCTGTGTTTTTCCTCAGTTACTTAATTGTTGCATCAAAAACAATTAATTTAATAAAAATGCATCTAATAAAAGTATTTTTTTTGTCTATGGTAAACAGATGGTAACCTTGACAGTGGAACCTTTCATGTGTGCGTAATGAATCATTTTAATCTGGATTATTAAATACTTTCAATGGAATAGATAAATAGTTGAGTCTCAGGGTCAGAAAACCTTAAAAAAAAATCAAACAGCACCTGTTGTTTGGGAGGGTTTCAAGAAAAGAAATCAAGAAAAGAAAATGCTCTCATACAAAAACAATCCCCAACATATTCTGTTGTCAGACACGACTGAAACTTCAAATGGGACTGGCTTCTATGGTCAGATGTAACTTAAAAAATAGCTTTTTAGCAACAAACACTCAAGATGGGTTTGGTGCACACAGGGATAAAAAGTGCCCCATGTGTACAATGTTGTGGGCCTATATTTCTGCTGGAGGTCCTGGACATCTTGTTTAGATACATGGCATCTTTGATTCTATCAAATACCAACAGATAAAAAATCAAAAAGTGACTGACTCTGTTAGAAATCTTATAATGGGCCATGTTTGGATCTTCCAACCGGACAATAATCCAAACACAAACCTTAAAAACAACACAAAAATGGGTCACTGGGCACAAAACCAAGCTTCTGCTATGGCCATTCCAGTCCTCTGACATGAAGCCTATAGAAAATGAGTGAGGTGAACTGAAGAGGAGAAGCACCATCATGGAGCTGGGAATCTGAAGGGTCTGGAGAGATTCTGAATGAAGGAATGGTCTCTGATCTCTTGTCAGGTGTTCTCTAACCTCATCAGGCATTATAGGAGAAAACTCAGAGCTGTTATTATGCCAAATGGAGGTTTCAAAAAGCATTGAATAAAAGGGTGCTGTTAATTGTGTCCAATGTATATAAGAGAAAAACATTTATGTCATAATGATATTTCCCCCCGTTTTAAATTCTCCAATGAAAGCTTTTATGTGAATTTTTTAAATAAAATTTTTCCCCTCTATATATATATATATATATATATATATATATATATATATATATATATATATATATATATATTGCAGTTTGGCCTACTTAAATAGTGGTTACTGAGGCCACAGCATGCAATGTTATCAAGCACAAAGGGAAATACAGAAACCACTGGATTGTTCCTATGACTATCTACAAGTTTGTGGCAAAAAAGCTTTTCAAAAGCTTTCAGTTCTCATGGCACATTCACCAAGTTTTCATGTAAACAGATCAGTCCAATGGCAACGTCGTGTGTGACCAAGGTGGAGCTGACGGTTTCCTGTGAAAACCTGCTGGACATGGATGTGGTGTCCAAATCCGACCCGCTGTGTGTCCTGCTCATGAACACATCAGGAAACCAGTGGTTTGAGGTCAGGTCACTTGTTGTTTGTTGTGCAAATAGTTCAAATATCTATGCGAATGCCTGTGCATATTTGGGAATCAGAATGTTTTTTTTCATAGGTCGATCGCACTGAGAGGGTTAAGAACTGCTTAAGTCCAAAATTTGCCAAGAAGTTTGTTGTCGATTACTACTTTGAGGTTGTTCAGAAACTCAGATTCTGCCTTTACGATATTGACAATAAAACCATCGATTTGAGCGATGACGACTTCCTGGGTGAGTTTGAGTGCTCGTTGGGACAGGTAAGACAACCAAAGATCCTAAACATCCATGTTTTGAAGTCATTTTTCCTCCGTGACATTGTCTGATGTGTTTTTTAATTTTTTTTATTTCTACACAGATTGTTTCCAGTAGCAAGCTGACGAGACCTTTGGTGCTGAAGAACAAAAAACCTGCAGGAAAGGGAACGATTACGGTGAATGTCCATGATATTTCATCATATTTACTCTAGATGTGGTTGCTAGAGAATAATATTTTTCCATAAAGTTGTTGTGACATGAAGAACATCAGCTTATTGTGGAAATAATTGATGGTGGACTGTTTTAATATATCATACAGATTTTTACATTATTATATAATACAGATTTTTTTAAAGTCTCTTTTTCTCAACAAGGCTGCATTTATTTAGTCAAAAATACAGTAAAATCAGTAATATTGTGAAATATTGTTACAATTTAAAATAACTGCTTTATTTTTCAAATGTAATTTATTCCTGTGATGTAAAGCTGAATTTTCAGCATCATTACTCTAGTCCTTAGTGTCACATGATCCTTCAGAAATCATTCTAATATGCTGATTTGCTGCTCAAGAAACATTATTATCAATGTTCAACATTTTTTTGTGCTAGTTAATATTTTAGTTGAAACAGTTCTTTGATGACTAGAATTTACAAACCCAATTCCAAAAAAGTTGGGACACTGTACAAAT